TTCTACTAAAAAATGACTCTGTTCTATCTATGTATTGTTATTAAAACTTCACCATCATACATTTTAGATACACAATTAACAAAACTCCAAATATCAACATTTGTTATATCAAATTATGCAAAATATCTGAAATATCTTACTAAAAAAACAGATGGCAATCTTCAAGCCAGAATAACATAGCCGAGAGAAAAATGGAAAAAGGCTTGCTTGAATCTGTACTTGTCCTTCAGCGCTCACTTACAAGTACTTTTCTCCCCTCCCTCTGTTCAGTTAACCACCGTATGGGCATTGTGTTTGAAGCAACCAGTATTTCAGCCTAGACCTAGAACTGGTCACTATTGCCCTCTTACTCAGTTACACATTTGAAACAGTGGAAAATAAAACCAATACCAGAATTTAACCTGCACTGTTTTGACATTTTTGCCCCAGGTTTTCCCCCTTGCACTTCATTTCTCTTCAGCACAGAAAGTCACAATCTTTCTATGTAATTAAAATTCTAACAGTAAAGCATCTATCAAAGAAGTGTAAACAATATAGGTAAAGACAATTTTAGTAGTCTTCTAATAACAGAAGAATCTCTAGTTCAGTCTCCAGGACAACATCCTAACAACTAGAAAGATTAAAAAAAAAAAAACAAAAAAAACCCCTTAATATGAAATTCTAAATATGACATGTAATCTCCTTAAGTCAACCAGTCACCTCAGTAATGACAAGCCAAACAGAGACATCAGATCCTTACTCAGAAGTTCCTTTAAAATATATATTTTATATAGTGTATCATACATTGTTCTGTGAACCAAAACAAACTGCTGTAAAGCTGAAACAACTTAGCTTACACCCTGGGTTGGTGTGGCCTTTTTCAGCTATCCACAACCAACCAACAACATTGCACAGATAACAATTTCACCAGCTTCATAAAGAGATCGTTAGATTACTTATTAGAAATTAGGCTCTTTGTATTACCTTAAACAGACTATGGGAGGTATTTATCTAACATAGCTAGATATATGGTGACCATGCAAACTTAGTGGGTTGGAAAGTTCATCAGAAAAGAGAAAATGAGCACGTCGCGGTGCTGTAGCAACAGGGGTGGATGCAAGCGTAGCCTCTTTGTGGCTCCCTTACATCCCTCACCACGGTAAGCTTTGGGCTTTTCCCGTCCCACAGGGGAACTGCCTAGTTCTTACACACACAAAAGAGGCTTTTGGGCTACTGCGCTCTTCCTCAAGTCATCTCAATGATTTCAAAGAGTTACCTTCTCTGCAGGAGCCTGAACACAGCAACAAGACAGCCCTCTTGAAACAAACTGCAATTTATTTTCACAGTGTTTCAGCCTCCTTCCTTCAAATAGTCACTAAACCTACACTCTCTGCAGAGAATTCCTTTTTAGCCAGGCAGCTCTTTTCTGATATTTTTCAAGCATTTATTGAGGAACGACTTATCCTGAACTACTCTTTATTATTTATTTTTTCCTGTCAGTAAACTAGTAAATCAAATTAATATAGTAATACAGTTAAAAAAAACACACTAGTAAATCAAATTAATATAGTGATACAGTTAAAAACACACACACACACACACACACACACACACAACAATTGTATCAGTAAAAAACCCTCAAACTAGTATGACAACGTTTAACCCTAGATTCCCACTACGCTTTGTTTTAAAGAAGAGTTTGTCTACTTCCTGGTGCATTTCAGCTTTGTAAACAAAAAAGGGCTACATGAGAATAATGCAAGTGTAATGGAAGACGATGAAACTCATGTACTGAAAAGTACCCTTCCTTCAGGGGTAACAGTCTGAGCTCACAGGGTGATATCTTTTTAAATATTCTGATACACACCACAGAGTCTACCAATGTCAAAAATGTGGCGGCTTGATACCTTATTCATTTATTCCTGGCTCATAGTAATTTTTAAATGAAAATTTTATATGAATCTTTTATTTTTCCATACTCATCATTCTAATAATACATAGCTTCAGATGAATTTAACACACTGTCTCCAAACAACACTGATACTCTTTTCAGCGTTCACAAATCATTTATCAGAAGCTCTCCACACACAGCCTTATCATCGCCTTGCATCGTATTAAAAGGTTACCCAAGTATTTGGGGAACAGTTTGTCCCTGTTCACATGGGGTTTTTTTTACATACCCTGAAGCACCAAGATATCACTAATTCATTACTGGGATTTTAATTCTGAAATAGTGTCATTTGCCATGGGTACACCTACGTGTACATCTAGGTGGTGGCGGTATTTTACAACGTATTTAACTTCACATATTCTACAGACGGATTACAAAGGGATTTGTTTTTTCAGCTGTTTTGAAAGTAGTGGTTGGACCAAAACTTGTTCACTCGCCTTATCCTCAGAAGTTAACCAGAGGAGATGTAAAATTCAGGTTAAGTTCCCTACAGTTTTTACAAATTATACGACAAAATAAATGAGACAAAACACCATTCCCTGGCTTAATGGGGGAAAAAAAATATACACTTACAAGTACAAGTAACAAGTCAAGTACAAGTGTCTGATACATTTTCCCTGTTTACAGAGAAAGACATTACTGAGAGAAAATCCTTCAACATCTCTAGAGTTGTGTCCTGTGAAGCATAAAGATATTCTGAAATCTGTATAATAGTGAAACACATACCATCGACAAAGAATTAACACTATATTTATAAAAAAATTAAAAATAATAGAAATAGTGTTGTGTGAAGAAACAAATGGTCTTGTGTTGGGTCTTCTGTTATTGGGGGCGGCGGGGGGAGGGAGGAAAAAAAAAAAAAAGTTGGTCCTGCACCATTTGTTCTCCCTTTCCCTAAGCTCTTAGAAGGAAACACATGCTTGTTATTCTTCTTATTTACAATTTAACTTCTTTTCAACTACAAGTGATAGGGAGACGATTACTAATCTGAAAGACAATTTACACGAATACAGATAAGTTAGTTCTATTTTTCCATTACATGCTTTAGCTAGTATTATTTCATCCTATCTCCTCGTAATCTTGTGTTTTTCTCAACCATATTTGAAACAGTTTTTAATAACCTACTTCTTACCCTTTTGGACTTCTTCTACACACTCTGCATTTAACATCAACATGGCTCCACCCAAGTTAAAAAAACATAAATGCAGAATGGTAATCAGCATTTTAGTCGTCATTTTAGTCTATCCTGGCTAAGCAACAAGATGTGAAAACTAAAGGTAGACCTACAGCAGTAGCTTTGGTAAAGACAGCTAAGTCAGAGGTGAACGTATAGAAGTGTCCGCTCCCTATTCACATGGAGTACAATGGCAGAAGACTACAATCCGAGCCTCCCTGTACCAGACTCACTGCATACTAACTAATTCAGCTTGCTGTGCATGTGATGGGTGTTTCTGGTGCCCAGTGCAGCATACCAGTATTTCTACACAAGAAAAGCACCAATAGTGTAAATATAATTACATATCATAAAGCACAACCTCACCAGCACTGAAAAAATGTAGGATAACTTTTAGTCTTTGCAAGACGCTGCTTAAACATGTACCGTCACTAATGCTACCAATAAGTTTGGAGAGTAAGACATTAAGTATAAGTTAGGAATGTAATCTCTCCTCCCCCATCTCTCACTTTCAGGCTACTTAGTTTCCAAAAGCACCTATTCTCATTTCAATTAAAACACAAATAGGAACTATGCTGCTGACATCTTGTCATTTTCCAACGCATGATGAATATTTACTCATCCTAGGGTATTAAAAATACCTTTGTATAACCACAATACTCATATAATCACAACATTTAGACATCTCTCCACTATTAAACTTTGTGAAAACTAATCGATATTTCAAACAAAAAGAAACGTATGTAACAGCCAGACTAACGTAAGTATTTAGCATAGATCCAGACAAAGGCTTGGCAATGAAATTAAAACCTATGATATTCAACCTAACGTTAAGCCCCTTATTTCCACCAAACAGCTAGGCACATTCCTATTGAAATAGAGTCTTCCATCACTTGCACTTACACAGCCGGATATAGTATGATTCAGATATCACGCTACCCAGTTAATTTGACAGTCATAACATATTCACTAGGAATTACTGCACACAGAAAGAAGATGCAGGTGTGCAAGGGTTTGTGCTAATTAATCAGCCATGAAAATGGAAGGACTACAAAGGCAGAGTCCTCCTGAACAGGCTCTTCAAAGACCGCAGCCCATACCCTGCATATTTTAGGATATTTAAGCAGTTAATAATCAGTAAAGCGCAACTGATGTATTACAGGTATGCAAATGATATTTCTAAAAGCTTTTAACACCAGAAGCTGCCACCTACTTATGGTTTTTTTTTTCAAGTGGGCATCACAAGATTTACGGGCGACCCACCATCAACAGATGAAATTTAACCCTGTGCTGCACAAAGCAGAGACAACCGTCTGCCCCGCACACCCTTCCAGACACCACACACAGCCGCTCCAAAAGCGGGGCCTGGCAGGCAGGAATCGGACCAACAAGAGGCACTTAGCCCTTAACCCGCTCAAGGTCGAAGCGGGACAGCTCTGCCGGCCCAACACCGAGCTTGTTCCCAGGCGGAAAAGGTCCCCTGGGGAAGCACCTCCCGAAGGGGCCAAACCGGGGCCGGACAGCAGCAGCAGCCGCGGCCGGCTCCCCGGCGGCGGGAGGGGGCGGGCCGCCG